CGTGTGATGATTGAACATTTGCCAAGTACTTAGTGGCCGTCTCTGGAAGAAGCCATTGCCAATCGAAGGCCAGATTTCCTGGCATTCTGAGGCAGCCCCTTGGCAACACCCCAGGAGGACCTGGCTTGTGCCTACAGCTCTCCTTGGCACGGGGCGCGTGATGGCCACAGCATAGGTGTTCCACGCAGATTCCTGATGGACAATCCCTGATTCTTCCTTCCTTCCCCTGTGTTCTAGAGGAAGTGAAAAACTTGGTTTTAAGTCAGAGGAAGTTGCCTAAACAGGACATTCACATCACAAGGAAATGGGACCAGGAGAGTGTGCCAGGAAAGGCAGAAAAAACAGAACAAGTAAAGGCTTTGCAAGGTGCGTGGAGAGGGCCTTTGGACACGCTGAGGGCCAGCCCGTGGTAGGGGGCGTGGGAGGGGTAGATGTGGCGGCCTCGTGGCGGCTCCGTGGCAGCCCCCTGCCCCCACTGGCCCTGTGCTGTCACTGGTTTGTTGTCTTTGCTCAGCTTTAAGTTGGTGAGTTACAAAAAAGTGTCTAACCACAGACCTTATATATGTGTTTTTACATAATTCAGTGGATTTGAGAGTATCAAATGAAGCAGGGAAACTAGCCTATAATTTGGTTAACCAGGCGCAGCACTGGAAAGCTGTGGTTATCATGCAAGGCACGTTCCCTTGCTTTTGTTCTACGAGTTTCTTTTTACAGAAGTGAGTTTATCCTGATGTGCTCTGAGTAGCTTGAGACTAGTGTATCACCACATGTGCATTTCTACTCCTTAAAAACTCCATAAACTTTACTTTTGCTGAGTGCATAATATTCCATCTGCTGGCAGCTCTGCAGTTTGCTCAACACTGTCTGGATGGAATCTTTAGAGTATTTTTGGTGTGTCTGATGTTAACAGTACTGAATTGGGGACAGTTCAGTAAGACTTTTGCTCTTTCTCTTGATCTGTGGGATGTGATAAGGAACTGGAGGCTCCTCTTGCCTATATTTGACCAAATAATTTGAATTATTCACTTATTTACTCAGTTATTAGCAAAGCTTTTTTACTGATGGCTTAGCACGTCCCCAGTGCTCTCTCTAGAACTAGCTTTACAAAATGCATCCTCATTTCCTAGTGAATTGCTAGTGTGGAATGAGAAGTTTGGAGACATTTGATAATACCAGGTTTCACTCAGCAGAGCCTGACATTTTCCCCACCGACTTGGAGGATGAGAAGCTGTTCAGAATGGAAGACCCTGGCTTCCTTCAGTAAGGACGGACCCCTGTTATTTGGGGGGTGATGGTGGAACCTCCCCTTATACTAGCCCTACAGATCCCAACAAGAGCCGTGTGGACTTTTTGTGCCCTCAGTGAGGTTGGAGCTCACACGAGCAAGTGAAGGAAAGGGAGGGAGGAGGGCTGCTTGCTTTGTGTGCGTGCAGACACCGTGCTGTGAGGCCTTGACTTACTTAGTCCTCAGAGCGATTACCCCAAGAGGCAGGGTTACTCCATTTTCTAAACCAGGTAACTCCATTTCAAAACCACTTTATGGTTCACATAAAATGACAGAAACCTAGAAAACTCACAAACTAATATGAAACTGAAGGCTGGGACTCTGGGGGCAGTCACACGGCAGGGCTGCCCTCACTCTCCGGGTGCCGCGAGGGCCTCGCTCTGTGCTGCTCGTCACCTAAGGTGGGTCTGGGCAAGGGGGTCCTTTGGCCGCTGTGAGGACAAGGAGTGGAGTCGCTGATGGCTTGTGGAAATGGGACGGGCGGACCCAGAGATCGTGACGCTGAAAAGCCTTGATGAAAAAGCTGTGTTTTCATTGAATTTACAGATTCACTTGAGAAGAACTAGTATTTTTATATTGTGGAGTTCTCCCAGCCAAAATTGCCGTACATCCACGCAATGCACCTCCTCTACGGCTTTCAATATTTTTCTCTTCCTATAATGGTGTGGATAATTCTGTAAATGGACGCCTGGCTGTTTTAGCGTCTGGGCCGCTTTTTTAAAAATGCTGTTTTCCATTCTGTTTTCTGCTTGGCTAGAAGTTGAAGGTGCAGGTGTGGTGTGCAGACCCACAGCATGTTAGAGCACGTTAGGGATGTGGAATCGCCCCCAGCCCTGTCCCACACCCCTGGTGATGCACATCGAAACCTGAAAAGCATCAAGCTTGAGGCATGGAAAGTCGTTCTGCTGCCTTTTGGTCCAGTGGGTGGTCTTAGATCTGGCCCTTGATTTTTTTCACTTTCATTTATTTCTCTTTGTGAATTTTCTAGATGGAGTATTTCAAGAAAAATGAATTCTTCGCCAGGTCTAACTGGGATGGAGAAGAAGGAACCTTCAATTAGCAGCTTAAACATAACAGAAAAGCAAAAGATCCCAAGTAAGTCAGGGTGAGATTTTGAAATTTTATAACTAAAGTTGGAAAAACTACGAACTATTTCAAATTAAGAGTGGTTCAGTAAGAGACTCTGACCTCTGGCCAAAGGTTACTTATAAGTAAAAGAATACATGCAGTTTCAACTTAATTTTTTTACTTTTAAATTTTGTTTAAAGATTTATTTGTGCATACAGGAACAGGGGTACAGGCCAGAGGTACGGGGGGGGGGACGGTGAGAGGATTCCCCAGAGACAGAGCGGGGCGCAGAATAGGCAGATCCATGAAGTACACTGCTGAGGGGAGCAGCGGGGGGACAGGAGAGGTCTGCTGGGCCACGTGGGTCAGCTTCCTGGCCGGGGATCGAACTCGCACTGCAGTGGCTGTGGACAGCTTCAGGTACTGAGACATAACCCCTTGCGCCTCTAGGGAGACCTCTCAGCCGTTCTCATCGCACCCCCTTCCCTCCCTCCCTCCCTGCATTCATCCATTCTGGTCTGTGTCAGCCCAGCCAGGCTAGACTGCCGAGTCCCCACCTTCACCTTTTCTGTCTCGTAGCTTTCCGCCAGCACGTCCTGCTCTTCCTTCACAGGCTGTGCTCGTGGGGAGCACGGGCATCTCTGGCGCTGAAAGGAGAGTCTCGAGGACTAGTTGTAGCTCTCTGACAGGTGCTGGGTGGCAGCAGCCACGACGCAGGGCAAGCAGTGGCGGCTGTGGCTGCCTGGGGTGCTCAGAGTCCACGTGCTTGGCCCTGTTTCCTCGCCAGTTTAGGCAAGGGTGGGTTTCTGGTCTGAGATGGAGAGTTCTAGACGTGATGCACTGCTGCCCCCTGGATGGCTCATTTCCTGTTCATGCAGACGACAGCTACGACCATTTCCCTCACTCTCCCGTCAGCCAGGCCGCGGCGCCTGGCTCAGCCCTGTGAAGCTGCAGAGAGGGGCTGGAGCCGCCAGGCTCCACGGCGACACCGCTGGACAGATGCCCCCCCCCCGCCCCCGCTCCTTAGGCCGGCCCCCCTCAGGCGAGCACCTTTCAGATGAGACCCTCACCCTCTGGGTGAGGTAACACCCAGATGAGGTTTTCAGCGCGTTCTTCTTATTTTGAAATAAAGATCGGAAGTACACATAGTAATGCAGCAACAACCCTCCACAATGTAGGCGTTAATATTTGCCATGTTTCCTTCATTTCTTTTGTTCCTTTTCCTTCCTGTCTGTGACTTTTTCTTGGAGTCCGCTGTGCGCCGCGCCTCTGAGAAGGGACCGTCCCGAGGGGGCGCTGCGTCCCCTTGGTTTTGAGCGTCGGGGCGCCCTTTCACAGCTCTCCTTGGCCACTCGCTCTTTGCCTGCCGCTGTCTTCTCTTTCCTGGTCCATCAAGGGGGAGACTCCCTGCGGCTGCGCAGCCCTGCAGGCAAAGGGCATGAAATGCGCAGTTCACGAGTGGTGGCCAGGGGCTGCATCAAGATGGAGACTTCGTTTGCTTCCAGCCCCCCCCCCACACACACACCATCGCCCCTTGTCCCTTTCCAGCTGCGCTTCTGAGCTGTGCTGGTGTCCGTGATGTGAGTCCGGCTCCTCACGCTGTCCTCGCGGGGGCAGAGTTTCTCCAGGTTTCCGGCTGCCACCAGCCCAGCCACGGCGGGCGTGCGTGCGCGTGTGCACATGCCAGCATGTCTGGGGCTTTTCCCTGGGCGATGCTGGTTTCAGGAAAACACCTTGACCCTGGGGAGGCCCTGTGGCAAGTCTCCCCTGCAGGGGAGCAAGCACTGCCTGGGGCTGGGCCCGACTCCTGGGGGTCACTGGGGGTCACGCCCTGTGTGATTTGCCTGTTTAATGCTGTTTCTGCTTTGTTTAAGTGTCTTCTTACCCATCCAGGGGCTTTATTTTTACATCTCTGGAGAATTCTGCCTTGCTAGCTAGATGCACAGTCGAAGCCTCAGACGGGGCTCCGTGACTTGGCCTTTGGGAGCGGAGTCTCCCTCTCTACCCAGCACTTTCAGTGCCCTCCCAGGGTGCGTCTGTGATGCTGGAGAAACCCTTCCTCACCCAATGTCAAGATCGTCTCCTGGGCTGGTGCTGGGGTTTGTTCTGCACCTTTCGTCTAGTTGCTTGCGTGTGGCAGGAGGTAACTGGGACCTTCACCTGCCCCCGGATGGTGGTCCGTGTTAGCTGACGAGTCTGACCTGGAGGCCCCGCTGCCTCCCGTTAGTGCCCCAGTGCAGACCCACTTCTGCGCTTTCTCTTGTGTTCCACTTCCTTGGGTGACACGCTTACAGCTCCCTTCACCTCCCTGCTCCACTTGATCTGAGCTCTGCGCTGAGCTGAACAGTTCACGACCTCTGCTCACTCATCTCAACACCCCGGGGCAGGTGCCGTCTGCTTCCCTTCAGCAGACGAGTTCACCAAGGCCAGGAAGGTTAGGGCCTTGCCAGGGCTGTGCTCTAGGCCGAAGCTGCTTCTGGAGTCTGGCGGTTCCGCTCGGAACTCCAAACCCAGCCCTGTGCTGTGGAGAGCAGGCCTGCAGGAGACCTCTGCAGGGGCAGCAGGGCAGCCTCAGCCTCTGCCCACCTAGCGGGTGGGGGGGCAGGGCACTTCCTTTTCCTTCCTTCCTGCCTCCCACCTTTCCTCCTCCTCCCTCCCGCCTCCCTCTTCCAGCTGCCTGCTCCACACCCCCAGACACCTTCTGGTAGCCGGGAGAGGGCAGTCAGCCCCGCCTTCCGCAAGCTGCAGGCCTCCCCGAGTCTCTGCATGTGTGTTCCCGTGACCACTCGGGGCCGAGCTCCTCAGCACACTTATTTCCTTCCTTTGATTCACAGTTAGAGTGAAAGAATTAGAAGGGAAAAAGAAAACCCCAAAGAAGAACAGGTCGGTGATAGAAGAGGGAACTAACAGCAAGCTCCTGGGCCACTGGAGGCCAGAAACTTTCTCCATGCAGCTGGCGGTGATGCCCCTCCTGGCAGGTAGCTGCATAAC